ATGGATCGTGAAGATCTGATTTCTTAATTGAAATGTTTGTGTTACAAGATCACTTAAATGCTTATTTGGTATCCCCCCCCCCCATTTGATTTTGAACGTCGACAGCAATAAGTATGTATACACGATTTTTTTCTTTCATCTGTGCGAATGAGTTTAAGAGCTCTCTCCGCTCCCCGAGGCTTCAGCATGGTGCTTTTATCCGGAGCGCTGCATGTACAGAGAGAGTGTTTTCTCTGTTCTTTGTTTCAACCCAACAGGATTAAACGCAGCCTTTGAAAGCTTCACTAAGCTTGTTATCCTAATGAGCGCTTTAGCTAATTACAGATGGAAACTCTTCTCTTTTGAAATAACAGCTCCTTGTCTTTCGCTGCCTACGCTGCAAATGAGAGATATATAACATGTCACTTTTCCCATTTTCTCTTTTGTTTCTGAATTCTTTCATAGTCTCCTGCACTCTTTTGTTAGAGCCTTTCATTCTCCGCTCTCCGGCATGTTTCTAATGTGGTGTTTATTTTCTGCTGTGTGTTAATGTTGGTGCCGGCCGCTCCTCTGTGTGTGTGTCTGCAGTTCATGCGGCCGGAGCTAAAGTCAAGGATGTGGAGAACGAGGCCGATAGGTTGTTGGAGAAACTGAAGCCCATTCAGGAGCTCCAGGACAACCTGAAGAAAAACATCTCGCAGATCAAAGAGCTCATCAGCCAGGCTCGCAAACAGGCCAACTCTGTGAGTACTGCTCATCATACTCCAGGAGAAGCATGCTTTATTCACTGAAATCATGAGATTTATACAATTTCACATCAGTTCATTAAAATATTGACGTTCAAGAACAATGACATTTTTAGGGCCCTATGACATTTTTAACCAAGTTCTGTGCTTTCTGTTTTAATTTTTCTGGCATTCTTTCCTAATGGTTTAATTAATTATAAAAAAACAACTTTATCTGTTTATTTTCAGATCTTTTGTGTTGTGTATTTTATTGTTTCTGGTAATCAAATGAAGGCATAAAGCATTAACAATTTAATTAATTAAAACAATTTTAATTATTCGTTAAAAAAGTATCCAGCACTCTCTTCAATCCACATGTAACATTATTTAAAGTCATAAATAAATTCATTATTTATTTACATGCCGAGATGCAAGCAATCTTCTTTGTTGTTACAAAGTTCAAGAAATCAAGTGCTCAGTGCATTTTAAAACAACAAACATTCAAATTCTTCATATCTTAATATACAATTCCTGACATATGTAATAATAGTTAACAAACATATATATTTAAAGAGAAGGATATACAAAATATGCAAGAACATATATAATTTTTAAATTCACATTATAGAAAACGAGATAAATTCAAGTCTTCATTCAAACCATGCGGTTGTACAGTATTGAGGCAAAAAAAATCTATTTACTTCCAGTTTGTAATCATTTCTGTTCCGTATTCGTGTAACAACAAATTGGAAGTACAGACCTACTTTTGATTTATCATACAAAATTTGCCAAATTCCGTGACATTCCGCGTTATACATTAAATTCCGTTTTTATGGCTGGATTCCGTCTGCATTTTTCACATCACGGAAATCATAGATCCCTAATTATCCTCATGCAAACAGCTCATAGCACTTGATGTGAACATACTTTCTGTCAGCATTACATTTTACACACTATTCTATGAACACAAAATCAGTAAACATAGACTGGTCTTAATTTTAAGATGTTCTTGTTGATTTCTCCTTAAATATGCTACAAGCTGCAAGAAGAGAAATAAGATCATTCATCGTGTGCTGTTTGCACTCTCTGGCTTGACCTCTCATGACCTTTGACCCCTAGATTAAGGTGTCTGTGTCGTCCGGTGGAAGCTGTATCCGCACCTACCGGCCGGAGATCAGGAAAGGCCGCTATAACACCATCATCCTCCATGTGAAGACGGTTGCTGCTGATAACCTGCTCGTCTACCTCGGATCAGCCAAATACGTGAGTGAGAAACTGTCTGGATTTCTCCAGCTCTTCTGCTTAAGCGGTCAGTCTGAGGCTCACACTGAAATGAACATGTACGTTTGAGTCAGAAACAGAGATGACGAGGGAAATAAGAAGAGCTTATTACTCTTCCACACACACATAATGTCGTGTTTGATGAGAGCTGAAATTCCTCAATTGTGCGTAGGTGGATTTCTTGGCAGTGGAGATGAGGAAGGGTAAGGTGAACTTCCTGTGGGATGTGGGATCAGGGGTCGGCCGTGTCGAATATCCCGATCTCGTCATCAACGATGGAAACTGGCATCGGATCGAGGCCTCACGGTAATTCAGGGTTCACGTACACTGCGTGTTTTGCTGAAAAACAATAATTTCCTCATTTTCTATCAGATTTTATCACCCTGTCACCCTTACACATCCTTAAAACAAGATTATATATATATATATATATATGTGTGTGTGTGTGTATGTGTGTGCGTGTGT